GTTGTGTGTGTGTGTGTGAGTGAGTGTGTATGTGTGCTCATGAGAGAGCGAGAGAGCAAGAGAGCGAGAGAGAGAGAGAGAGAGAGAGAGAGAGAGAGAGAATGAGAAAAAGAGTGAGAGCTGGATCAAAAGACAGAAGCAGACACAAGAGGAAGTCTCGGTAAACAGGACACAAACAGAGGCAGACAGCCTGGAAGAGATGCACCCTCAAACAACAGACACAAGGAGAGACAAAGGCAGAGAGGAGACAGGCGCCCCCAGAAAGCGGGATGGACATAGTCATGACAGATCCCCTAAATACCCCCAAACCTCCCCGTGAGGGAGGGTCTTGCTGGACTTGGCATCCTTTGAAAAGGACAGGCCACCTCCGGGTTTTGGCTGCCCTTCCTGGGCCCTCTTCAGGCAGAGGGCAGTCCAGGACCCAGAAATTCCACCTGCAATGTGTCCTCCACCGCCCAAAAAGAAGCTTCTGGCCCCCACAGTCCACACTGGTGCTGGACTGGCTGGCTTTCTGAGCTAGTGAAAGGGATTCGCACTCGGCTGACCTCCGTCTGTTGAGGGCCTTTCAAACTGGGGGAATGAGAGGAGGGGGAGGTCGAGGGGACCTGAATGGTGGCCCTGGAGACGGCGGAAGGAGGCCCCATCAGAGATCAAAGGCCCAGGAAGGAACAGAGGGTCTGGGGCTGCCCTTTCACCCATGGCCGCTATTCAAGGCTCTGCCTGCTCTGCCAAGTCCAGCCCCGCCACCACCGCCTCTGGGCCTTCCGGGGAGGGAGGCACTGCCTCGGGCTCTGTCCCTGCAGCCCAGCAGGATTCCTTAGGCCCAGGCCCCAACTTTCTCCACAAAAGCTCTCAGCACAGTTCAACCAAGAGACGAAGCTTTGTCTCACACCTGGGTAGACCCTGGCCTGACTATCAGCCATCCACAAGCCTCCGAGCAACTTTGTGCACCAGTCCGACACCAAAGGGCCAGGCTGGGGATAGAAACACAGGTGATGTGGCCCCGTCCAGCCAAGTCCACATGGATGGTGCACTCAGAGTCAGATAGCAGGAGGGAAAACAAGGAGGCAGAACCACTTCCAGATGCAAGGAAGTGACAGAAGCACTTGACACCTAGATTGTAACAGACCTCAGAAGTCACTGAGTCCAAACCAGAATGCCTGCTTTGGCTCCTCTGCCCCTCGTTTGTCCAGTTCCTGCTCATACCTCCAAAGACAGGGAGCTCACCACCTTTCCAAGCTGACACTTCTAACCTTGGCCCAGCCTGGCTGTTGTCTAAAAGCTGTTCCTTGCACTGAGCTGTGATCTGCCTCCCTGCAGTTTCCTTTAACCAGCTCCATCTCTGCCCTCAGAGGCCCCAGGGACCTTATATGCTGCCTCAGCCACAGAACCGTTCATCTGAGATTTGGACACAGTGGCTGGTCTTGGATGCAAATGTTGGGGGGAGAATCCTAGAATTTCTAGCCTAAAAAGGCCCTTGGCAATCCATTGATTTGACAGTGTCCTAACTTGTTTGTTTTTGTTGCAGAGTTCTACTCAAATAGAGCTTTCCATGGAAGCCAGAAATACCAACAGAAACACTCCTGGTTGAGGAGACTAGAGATCCCCCACCCCGCCTCCCCACCATCCTCACTAATTTTGAATCTTCTACAGGCATGTGACCAATCTATTCCACCAAGGAGCATTTATTGAGCACCTACTATGTGCCAAGCACTTGTATTCAAGCCATGTTATCCAATACTGTAGGCACTGGGCACATATGGCTTTTGAGCCCTTGAAATGTGCAACAGAGGAACTAAATTTTTAATTTAATTTGATTTTAATTCAAGTTTAAAAATAAGCCTTGTAAAGTATTTTTTTCCTTGATAATGTGCAACTTCCTATGAGGACCCTTCCCAGATCTTTTTGGTCAATGTCAGCCCCTCCCTGCCCTGCCCTCCAGCTCTGGTGTCATCCTCCCATCCCAGCATCACCCCACATCACCCCACACACTGGCCATCAGAGGGGCTGTGGGCTTGCCAGTCTTGCCCACTGGCCTGAGGTCTAGAGGGCAGGTCCTCTGTGACGGAACTCTCCCACCAGCCACCCCTGCCCTGAGGCCTGGGCAGGAGCATGGCACCAGGAAATGCCCACAGGGTAAAACCCAAGTCTGAATGCGAGATGACTTTGAACCAGGGCTAAGCAAGCAGCTCCACCCTGCAGAGCCTCAGTCACCTCATCTGAAAAATGAGGATGAGGACCCTCTGCCATCTTCCTCTTGGCCCTCTATTGACTCTCTTGCCCCATGGCCCTTCCCTCAGGCTGCCGAGAATAACGGTGCCACGGTCTGTAGCCTCAGTAGGCCAGACCCCCGGTGCACCCAGCACTCTCTGCGTTTCCCCAGTGGCTGGTTCCTATGTTCTCACCACACTCTTGGCAGCATCCCACCGGCTGACCATGCCCTTCTGCTTGAAACTCTCCTCACACCGTCCTCAGGTTCTGTCCAGCCCCAGGCTGCTCCACCTCCAAAGCATCTCTCTGGAGGGGCTGAGAGACAGCAGGTGGCCGGACAATGCCAGGGAACTGAGGCCTCAGGGGCTCTCTCCCCTCCTCCCCACCCCAGGCCACACCAGCTCTGTGGCTTTGCCAACGTGGAACTCCCCGAGGCCTTGCTTTCCTCCTCTATAAAAAGGGAGTGGCAATGTCTGCCTCTTCAGCTCCCCTTGAAGCCAGTGAAAAGATGCTGGGAGATCCAGAGGGAGGATGGCAAAGGGCAGTAGGAAGCACCACACTATACTCCTCTCAGGCAGCTTGCTGATGTGAGTGAGGGCACTTCTGCCCACCTCTCTGCCCAACCATATCCAGTCTCGGTGATGCAGGGCAGAGGAGAGAACGGGCCCTCTGGTTGCTTCTTGAGTCTCCCAGTCTTCCCAGTCCTGGAAGCTTCCAAGACCAACACATCATTCTCCCTTAGCCCCAGACCACAGACTAGATCACGTCCCAAGTCTTGCTGGGGATCAGGGCTCAACTATAAATTCCAAGACTGAAAGGATCTCAAAGATCATCCAATCCTGCATCTGATTCTTGATACTCTTATAAAGCAGCCCAGCAAATGGCTACCTCAGCTCTAACATACCTCTAGTGACAGAGCACTCACTACCTCTTGAGGCAGCCCCTCTTTGCCCTAGACCACTCCCATGTTTACAACGTTATTTTTTATTCTTATCTGAACTCTCCTCTGCATCTGCCACACACTGACCTTTGAGGCCACACAGCAAAGTCTCATTCCTCTTGTCTTCCATGTCAGCCCTCCAAATATTTGAAGGCAACAATCTGGTCTTGCTCATTCTTCTCTGCTTAGTACCAAAATGTCCCTAGATCCTTGAGGTGTTCTCCAGATACATCTCCATCCAGGTTATACCCATCTGGACATATCCCAGTTTGTGACTGTCCCTCTTAAAGGTCAATACCCCGAGTGGGCCACAGTCCTCAGGAAGGATCTGCCCGGCACCGAGCAGTCTAGACGAACACCACCCGCATTCTGACCTCTCTGCAGCTTGAGAGGCTAAACCATGAACACCATGACCACTGATCAGAGACTGAAGGCCAATACAACACTCCACAAACACGGTAACACAGTCCCCCCAATTCAGGACCAACACGGTAACACAGTCCCCCCAATTCAGGACCCTATCTTTTTTTTTTTTTCTTTCTTCAAAACACTCTGCCTGGATCCCTCAACCTCTGAGGGAGCCTCACATACCTGTCCCTCCACATGATCAAACACAGCGGAGCCCAGCTTGGGCACATCTGCTGTGAGTCCAGGTGACACTGGGAGAAAAGATAACAGCGTCAATCCCATAAAGCAACAGTGATGGTAGGCCCGTGCCTCTGCAGTAACTCAGCACAGCAACCCGCCGAGTTAAAGACTTCTGACATCTGCTCTGAGTGTCAGGAGCAGGGGAAAGAGGTGAGGCAGGTTCCAAAAGCTGTGAATCATCCCCCACGAACCCCCCACACCTCCAAACAGAGGCCATGGGCCCAGCTCCTGCACTGCCTGGAACACACAGACCTCAGGCCAATCCACTACTGGGCTGACTCAATTTTCTAGTTAGAGATCTTAAGTATTTAGACATGTGTTCACAAGAACATACGTCCCTTACAGGGAGCCGAGAAAGGGAATTGTGCCGAGGAAGAGAATAATTGAATCAAGATTTCTGTCACGTTGCTCTCAGGCCCTCGACCACGGCCCCTTTTTTTCTTTTCCTGATAAAGGTTTTACAGACTCCCAGGGGGTCATTCTCCTCTCAAACCCATTAATGTCAACCAGCACTGGCAGCGTGTCCAGGGAAGGAGACCCAGGTTAAGGCGGGCCCATGTCCAGGACAGAGGAGGCCAGCCCCCGAGGCCTGGGGGGCAAGCTGAGGGCTGAGAAAAGCCAACATGGAAGATGGTCATCTGTGTTATCCCCGGCAGGCCCCTGCACCCCCTCCTTCCAGGCTCAAGGCAGAGATGAGATGATAAAGAACTTCCTCAATCCCCTCCATCCCCACACTGAAAGCCTCTGGGAAGGGGTGTGCTCAGCTCCTCAGAGAACCCACTTGAGGACCCCTCTACCCCAAGTGTGCCCCTCACTCGGCCCAGGCCCTCTCTTTCCTCAGGTCCCCCCCAGAAGGGGACACTGCTGCTGAGCTCCTACCCTCCACACCCTGCCCTCAGGCATCACATCTGCACGGGCAAAGGCTTCTTAGAGGCCGCAGAGCACGGGCCACAAGGGCTCTGTCAGGCCTACCTTTCTCCGCCAAAGGACTGAAGATGGCAGGGGCCCGTGAGAGGTCCAGTCCCAGCCGGGGCCCTGCCTGCCTCTCCCACAGGGCTCAGCCCCTTCGCCGTGGTCACCGAAGGGCCTGGGCCTGGCGCCCCCGGGGCTTCGCGGGTGCTTCCGCCCCTGAGTGAGCGCCCCGCCCGCCCGGAGCCAGATCCCGTCGGGTCTCGGAAAGGGCCGCGAGGGAATCTCTTACCTTCATCTCTCTTGCGCTTGTTGGTGTCGGCACTGGGGGATGTGATGCCCAGGATGCCACTGATGGAGTACGAGGAGCCGGCCGAGTCCGTGCTCACCGAGGACACCTGCGTCACGGAGCCCGTGGACACTGCGCAGAGGGAGAGGGCGGTCAGGGCCCGGCAGGGGGCTGGGGGCGGCGCCGGCGAGGAGGGAGCCCGGGCCCCAGCCAGCCGCCGAAACCAAGGCACTCCCCCTACGCGGGGCCGGCCGGAGCGACGCGGGGCCGGAGCGACGCGGAGAGCGCGGGGACAGGGCGGGTGTGTGCTGAGGCCACTCGCCCTATGGCAGTGCCCACACCTGGGCGATGAGAGCGGCCCTGGGGCCACTTACCCAGGATCTCTGGGGAGGTGAGGGGGAGGATGGGCAGCAAAGAGAACTGTCGGTGCGGGAGACACGGGACATTGTACGAAGCGCACTCTCTCAAACCCCAGCCTGTCCACGCAGGAGGCACGCGGATGGAGCAAAGAAAGAGGGGAGCTGGGCCCCACCACCTGCCGGTGCTAAAAAAGACCTACTCATCAGGCAGGCTCACTCCTCACTTAACACACACACCCACCATCTGCACACTCATACACACAGCCAACACAACGCCAAATGGCAGACTGTTTCTTTTACATTTCCTCAATGTCTATTTCCCTTCCAGTTTACCTGGATTTTAATGTTTAATATTAATTCTGTAATATTGATATAATACATAATGTACTGTGTACTATATATAATATATATTGATATATATAATAATGATAACGTTTTCTGAGAACTTTGAACTAAGGCATTCGGGCATTATCTCATTTGATTCTGAGAACAAGCTTTTAAGGTAGATTATGTGGTTATCCCGCTGGAAAGGTAAGAAAACCAAGGCTCAGAGAAGGTAAGTGACTTGCCCAAGGTCACACAGCTAATAAGAAGCAGATTGGTGACTGGAACCCAAGAACCAAAGTCTTAACCCCTATACCAATCTCTTCCTCACTAATTAATAATGAAAACAGTAATATGCTTCACATTAATACAATGCTTTTCATGCAGTGCTTGCAGTAACCTCAAGTGCTATTACTCATCCCCATGTATCAAATGAGGACCACAGGCAAAGTGATTTGCTCAAAATCATCTAGCTAATAAGCAGTAGCATCAGGACTCTGCCCTGGGTCTACTGACTTAAAGTCTAGATTTCTTCTGTCCAGAAATGTGGACCAGATCTCTAAGATCCTAAGACTAAGAATGGAGGAGGGGAGATTTGTGCAAGTTTCACACTAACTCCTGGCCCCAGAGTCTAAGGGGGAGACCATTCGATCATCAGAGTCCTCTCGAGCTGTGCAGCTAAATTTCCATTCCTGGGCTGTGGGATTTCTTTCTTGGTTCATTAAAACCTACAGACCCATTTCAGACACATTTCCTTCGGCTATAACTATTGACTCTAAAGTGTAGGAAATTACTAGAAATGGTGGTGATGGCTTGAGAAGCTATTTGTTGCTTTCCTTGGAGCACATCCAGCTCTTGTTCCTATGGACCTAAAGGGAACAGGGCCTTTCTTCTTATATTTGAGTTTGATTTTAGATCTTCCTTAGGAGACACAGAAGTAGAAATCGTTAACTTCTCTTTTCCTTCACCAGAAGCTGCTCAAAATAGATTTATGCAAATCTCACAACCTTTTTTGTATTAAGGTGCAAAGCACAGAGGAAGAAAGAGGATCACACGTCATTTGATACTTTAAACAACAACCACCACTTATAACCAAAGTTCACCATGTTGCTGACAGAGATGGTATCATTTGTTCCAATATTTCACGATCACACTCAGCTCAAAAGACCCAGGTTCCAATTCTGGCTCCACCACTTACTGGTCATGTGACCTTGGACTAGTTATTTAATCCCTCTAAAACTTTGATTTCCTCACTTCTCAATAAGTTTTAAACTCTAAGGGCCTGAACACATATAAGATATGGTTTTATACAAATTTCTGAGACAAGGTATTCTGCTAATCGACAAGTGGAATTATTCCTCTAACCCGACTGAAAGAATATTTTCAGTTACTCTTAGTTTGATATTCAGTGCTACATGACCTCAAATGGTTACAGCTGCGAGTGAAATCGCAGCCATGAACACTTCTCAGAAACCTTCCCCAACCCTCTTCACCCCAGCTCAACAGAGCTGGTCCTCCCCTCCCTTCTGCTCCCACAGCACCCTGTACTTTCTTCTGGAGCCTTATCTCAGTGTTTTGCAAACTTCTCTTGGTTACATTTCCCCATTAGACTGAGAAGCCCTCGAGAATGGGGATTTTGTCCTGCCTTCTTTATAGTCTCTAACACCGCGGGCTGCATAGCAGGGGTTTAGAAAATACCTTTTGAATAGATTACCAAACGAAGAATTATTTTATAGAAGGGAGAAATTCTGTCTTACCTTTATCCAGAGAGGCAACCATGAAGAATCAGAGACCTCAGAGGGTACTTGGGTTGTGCCCCTCAGTCCACAAATGGGGACACTGAAGCTCAGAGAGGTGAAGGGACATACACAGTTCACTAGGTGAATTAATGACAAAGCTGGAGCTATAAGCCAGGCCTCTGCCTGTCCCCTATCACCATGGGGAGTTCAAGTTTTCAGGTAAAGAAGGAGAAAAAAGGGTGTAATTAAGGTGTGATTAAGCGGAATTGACAGGGACTATGGCAACCAGAACTTGCTGAATGGTGGCCTGCTTTCTGATAATAGAATAAACTTTCCCTCAACTAACCAGAGGTGTTCCCTTTATTCCAAATGGAGAAATAATATGCCTTGAGTAGACATACGTTACTTTCATCTCACAATCTTTTCAGGGAAGGCAAGGGAAACTTCTGAACTCCTGAGTAGTAGGAAATATGACTCCCATCCTTAGGAGTCCTGCTCGATCTCAGACTTCACCCATGAGTGTCAGAAACCCCACTGGCAGCCCTTGACAGTTCACGGAGCACATGAGATCGAAGCAAGAGAGAGAGAGAGAGAAAGTTTGGGAAGTTTTGCTACATCTTCACTCAAGACTGCAAGTGCACAAAGAATTGTAGAAGGGCTGGTTGATAGAAGAAAAAAACACATTCAAAACTACTTACTGACTAATGATGCAGAAAATGTTATGAATAAGTATCCCTTTCTTGATTTATTACTTTAATTATCTGACATTCTATAGACCCCCATTAGTGGATTTTTTTTTTGGCTTAGATTTCAATTTTCTGTCTCATGGTGAAAGCTATTTATCATAATAATCAGTAAAATTCAAAACCTTTTAGCAGTATTTATAAAATTCATTTACCAGGTTCAGCCCTTGGAGAATGACAAAGAAGGCGCATTAGTACGTGTGCCGAAGTGTTTTATGCAGAATTATCTGTCCATAAGAATGATTAAAAGTTCTTTAGAGTATTTGGAGCCCATTAGATTTTTAAATTTTTTTAAAAAGTTCTTCTTACCTATGCTGTGACTGGAAGCTGGGACCGGCTGGTTGGGTGGCTGCTGTACTTTTGTCCGGATGATCCTGTGGGCAGTTGGGAAAAAAATAAATGGCTATTTACCATCATGGAGGAGAAGAGATCTAAACTAGCTATGCATGGACAACAGAAAACCCATACCAAGCTGGGTCCTGGGTCAAGCGGGGGCAGGGATCAGGGGAGATTATGAACCCAGGTTGGGAGTTGGGAGTTTGGAAGAATTACAGAGTAGTCCCAACTCAGCCCTACCTCCCTGCGTGTCTTTGGGTAAACTGCACCCCTCTCTGGGCTACAAGTACCTCTTCAGTAGAAAGAGATTGATGTGTTAATATTACAAATAGGCATCCTGTTCTTGGGAGTGGCTCCAGCTCCATAAGGAACTCACTGAGTGAGTTAGAAAGTTCCTTCCCTTCCCTAGACCTCAGCCTCCCATCTGGGGAAAGAAGGCACTAAACCAGGTGACCTCCCTGTCCTCTGGTAGCTCTCACACTCTGGTTCCTCTGCCTTAGAGAGCCACCAGAAGAACATCCCCGCCAGTCAGAAATTACTGAGGGGCAGGGGGAGGGGATGTTTATGTTGCTTTGGAACTAGAAAGGATTAAAGTGCTTGGAGAAGAGGCCTGGCTTGGCTTTGCCAGGAGAAAGCCTGAATTACACAAAGCCTCCATGGAAGGGCTCCCTGGGGCTGGGAGCCAGGGTGTCCTGGCCTGTTTTCCCAGAGATATTGCTCCAGTTCTAATATGAACTTGATTGTGACCCTGGGCAAGTCCATTCCACTGTGGGCCTCAATACAATGAGTGAGTTGGAACAGACCACTCTTTGCTTACTTTAAGTAATTGAATCCTTTTGGGGGAGAAAGGAAGGAAGGAAGGAAAGAAGGAAGGAAAGAAGGGAGGGAGGGAGGGAGGGAGGAAGGAATCTTATGAAAAAGCCCAGTGCATAAAAAAGATAATCGCAGCACTGCCTTCCCTCTGCTACCTGGCAGCACTGACGTCCTTCTGCAGAACCTTGGGCTCTGAGAAGTTTCATTTGTAAATTTTCAGCTGGGACAGCACACGAGGCCTCCATGAGACCCCAAGCCTGATGCATCGTAGAGCTGCTGACCAGGGTTGGGGCAAAAGTCCCTCTGCGGTCTGCAAGAAATTCCTTCCCTGGCATTTGAGAGAAGGGTGAGTGATAATAAAATGTGCTGCTTCTTTGGAAAAGTTCTATTCCAGCCTCCAACTATAACCTTTTGAAGGAACATTTATTAGAGTTTTTCCTAATTATAAAAGGACTTTGTGCTCATTGTAGACTATTTGAACAACAAGTATAAAGAAGACGTCTAAAACCACATTTTGGTATATTTCTTTTATGCTAGCATTCCTGTGCATATTTGGAAATAGCCATTTTCTCTTAACAAAATCAAGATTAAACTATGTATACAGTTTTGTGTCCTGCTTTTTTCACTCAGCATTATGTAAGAAGCTTTTTCACATTCCAGACCATTCTTTTGGGAAGTTCATTTCAAGCTGCACTGGTCTCCAGCTTGTGCACACAAAAAGGAAGAACAGAAGTGGCAGGTGCCTCCCCTGAGCCTCACTGGGCCATGGCCTCTGCCCTCGGTGATCTCACAGCTCAGGGCTGGGCACTCAGTGTCCTTAGCTGACAGCCTGGAATGAACGGTTCTGTTCACACTGCAGCCCCCCACAGGCCCTCTGGAGCCCAGGCCACTTGAGCTCAGCAAAGGGCTTTTTGCCCCTTTCTGATGAGTCAGCATACGAGTGTTGCCTCAAATACACTCTGAGTGTTTGTTTTCTCCAATATTCAAACCACTTATTTTAACTAAGCAAACATGGTGCGTTCTGCCAAAGACCTGGGAGTGAGGCAGTCTTTTTGACTACCTGGAATTAAGCCAGCATCTGACCTAATTTTTGGATTTTTGTGTATGTCACCTTCTCTGTGCATAGATGATGTGTGTCTACAGAGATATAGCTAGATGTGTGAATATATGGACAAACCAGATATAAACATGATTCACCTATGTTATGGTTTACATATATACAAACGTATGGTAAAACAGATCATAACTATTTCCTGTTGAAGTCCCACATAAAGTCCTAACTTTTTGAAACATTGTCTTGCCATTAACTTTGTACATAAGCAAAGCAAAGAAAATTATGTTTTCCTTATTTTTCTTTAAAATATCTAAATCATTGGTAAAACATTATCAATTGTTATAAATCATTGAGAGGCAGTTGCAGCGGAGTGAACAGGCTCCAGAACCAGACTTCTGGAGTTTGAATCCCAGTTTTGCAATTTGCTAGCTATGTGACCTTAGGTAAGGACCTTCCTTAATTTCTTCATCTGCAAAATGAGACTAAGACTCATTCCCACCTCCTAGGGTTATTATGAGGATTAAATTAATTAAGTACTTAGAACAGTGGCTGTTGCATAGTAAATTCTCGGTGAATGTTAGCCATTGTTATCTTCACTGGTGTCTTCATAAGGATTAATGACCAGCTTCAACCTTAAAAGGTTCATATTTTCTACGAATGCTTCAAAAACACATAGGATCCCCTTGGGAGCTGAGGAGGGGAAGGTAGTCATCCACACCCTATTTTAAGGCTGAAATGGGACTTTCCTTATGAGGGAGACCTGAATTGTAGGGAACCCTTCAGAGCTGTCCCCAGAGAGAGAGATTTTGCCCATCTGCTTACAGCAGCTGCCAAGAAAAGAACAAAGAGCATCATCTTCCATTGAGAAGAAATGGGAGTGGGAAGAACAGGACTGTAATTAAATCATAGCAATTCTAAAAAATTTTAAAAATTAAAAAATTAACAAGCAATCATCAGGTCTTGTCACAATAAGAGCCATACTCCAGACATTTTCTAAACCAGAGACAGTTGGGGCTAATTGGCAGTCAGCATTCAGAGGTACAGCCTTTACTTTGCTGAGCATGAGCAGGACCCTGGATGCCATATAAACATCCTAGGTGGCCCATTGGAGAAGGAAGCTCAGCAATCAACAAATTCTTACGAATGAAGAAACTAAAGCCCAGAGTGCTCAAGTGACTTGCCCCAGGTCACACAGCAAAGTCAGCTCCCAGGCCTGAGTACTATTCTTTGAGCCACATTCAAAGGAAGTTGTCCCTCTGCTAAAGGCTTCCTATATGAGGCATAAAGTCTATTTGGATTCAAAATCCATCTAGAATCTGAAGATTCAAAGTCTGAGGAACTTTAGATATTGCAGGTATTTGTAAGGATCCCATTTCAGCATCCCCCCACTGCTTTGAAGGGCTAGGTCTTCTCACTATCACTCCCACCCCCACTCCACCCCAACTCCACCCCCACATATGCAAAATTACATTGGAAGGGAAAATCATGGTACCTTAAAAAAAAAGAAATGAGGCCATAGGGCTGAAAAAATACCCATGTCTACCACACTCATCAAATTGCTATCGGTGCACTAAGAATCTTGGGCCATTCACTATGCTAAGAATCCAAAAACCAGTGGTCCAATTAGACCAAGCTGGGAAAGACAAGCTGGGTGACACTCAGGCCTGCGACTGATGCAGAAAAGAAAGAGGGAAGGGATAAACAATGCCGGAAGGCTTGCTGCCCAAGTTAGGATAAAGAACAGAGTTTAGCAGTGGTCATCCCCAGGCCACATCCATCCCTGGATAAATTTCGTTTGGCCTGTACAGCATATTTATCTTCATTTGAATTAGTTGCCAATAGTGGTAAGTTGGAAACTTTCACATAAATACATAGATTTCTAGGTTCTCTGGAAAGATCAGAACACACAGCCATACTGGCCCCACATTCTCACAAGACAACCACGGGCTGGACTTAAATAGGGCTGCCCCTCTAAGCTGGGAATGTCACTCAAGTTTCCCCACCACTTGGTCCCTCATTTAGAGCTGCAGGACTGGAACAGACGAAGGAAGACTCGTTCCACCTGGAGTGGGGGTCAGCTCTAGGACAGTCACCTCCAACTGACACTCAGGCTGGATTCAAAGAATCCCTCGTGCAGGTTGTGCACATATTTGTCCTTAAGAAGCCACATAAACATGATGGTTTGTGTCCCAGGAAATCTCCCACAAGCCTAGCAGAACTGGTTCAATGTTGCTTCACCCCATGTCAGTCATGGTTTCCCAGGCAAGTTCCCTAGAAGGCAGCAGGAAGGCACACACTTCAAGGGGTAGAGGGTAGAGAAGACGCAGTGGCCACCAGCACAGCTGCAGATCCAGTTACCATTCCCTCCCTGGCTGCTGGACATAGTGAAGTAGTGAGAAATTGCCTCACAGTGACACATGGGCTGGAAGAGGGAGCTATGGACCCACTTACACAATGACATTTGCAAGACAGTTATTTAGAAGCTGCATCTGTTTGAGTGCAGTGGGATCTTCACCTTTATATGGAAAACAAAACTATGCTGGGATGGCTTAGGCTTTTGGGGGGTGGGGGAGGCAGCAACATGAAGCTGTCCCACATGTAGTTTATTTGCATTGAACGGTCTGTTGCTAGAGACACCAAAGAACTCTCACTGAAGAATGTGGTGGGGAGCCAGAGAGTGCTCCTGGGAGAAGCCCCAGAGAGGAGCACAGGAAAGGGCTATGGATCACAGAGGAAGCCCACAGACCGGCGGCAAAACATACAGGCTGCGAGGCTCGGGAATGGAGTGGGAATGCAGGCGGGATGTCTGCTTCTCCCTGCCTCTTTGTCCTCACTGATCCTCAGTTCTGTCCTGGCAGAGTCCTGGGGGAGTGGTAGAAAGAGATGGCCCTTCTCTACCCATCAGGACACCTGCTCTACTCCCATCTCTGCTCAAAATCACCATTCCTCTGCACTCCCCATCTGAGCCTTTGTTTCTACACCTGTCACAGGAGAGAGGTAAGCCTTGAGGGCTACAGGAGACCCCAGATATGGAAGCACCTTGGAGGCACAGCCAGTGGGGTCACCAGGCCACCATTATGGAGTGGGACACCCAGGAGGCCCCTGAAGCTACAATTAGCAGTCTGACCCCCCCACAGCACAGTTCCAGGCACAAAGCATCAGCTGAGTCATGACTTCCCCAGACATTCATTCAGGTGCCCCCTTCACAGCCTTCACCACATGTCTAATCACTGTGTTCTGTTTGCCTCATACATTTCTTTCAAGTAACTTACTTTTTGGCTTAAATAGACTTATTTTATAGGGCAATATTAGATCTTCACTCTAAATGGGGGAAGAAGTTCATAAAGTTCACACTCACTGGTGTAATGTGCTCATTACAGTTTTCTAAAGTCCATTCAGGGGAGGGTATAGCTCAAGTGGTAGAGTGCTTGCTTAGCATGCATGAGGTCCTCAGTTCAATCCCCAATACCTCCTCTAAAAATAAATAAACCTAGTTATCTCCCCCTGCCAAAATAAACTAATTAAATAATAAACAAAACAGAAAGCTAAAGTTCATTCAAATAAATTCATCACAAAACAGTTTTCCTCCTTGTATGACAGAAGGTAGAAGCAGGGGCCCTGCAAATGAGTCATGCTTGTCCTGCAAGGCTTTTTCTCATTGACATTAGTTGCCACTGCTTAAAGACAGAGATTTCACAGACACAAACACACACATACATGCACACACAAGTCCTAGTTTCTGGCTTCTCTTTAAGAATGGAAAAAATCTGGCTAACTGCAGGCCCACGGTCCTGGCACATTTGGCTGGAACTGGAAAGTAGCTGCCCCTTCAATAGAGCTTGGTCTGGCCAGGATGCCACAGACCCTGCCTTCCCCTGTTGTCTTTTGCCTGGGCCGCTCCCCTCATTGTACCATCTACTTGGCCCCACTTCAGCATTAGAGTTTGTGACCACCACGGGTAACCTGTTATATTTCAAACCACCAATTACCTGTCTACCCAACGTTGACAAATCTGTGGGCCCCAGATCCTGACCACGGGTTTGAGGGGAGCTCCTCTGCAGAGCAGGCTGATGGCTCCTTCTCTACTCTAAGCAGTGCCAGCCTCACTCCACATTAGGGCTTTCAGAGACCCAGGTGGGGGAAAAGTCATATTGCTTTGTGTCATGGAAATCCTTCAAAGAGCCAGATGTAGGGAACTCAGAAAGCACATGGAGCCCCTCATAATCCAGAATAGAACAGAAGTTGGTCCCCCCAAACCCATCACAATAGTTGCTACCTCTCCAGCAATTGTGTGCCTACATTGGGCTGTCCAGACTTCTCAGTGAATGCCGGACACCCTCCCTGGACCAGGATACCTCCTAGAATAGAGATGCAGAGACTCTCTGCCTGATGCCCCTTTCTCTTCGTAGCACCTTGCAATATGTCAGAGCCAAGGTAACGATATGCTGAGAGAGAAAAAAAAACAGGCTAATGGTTTATGAAATAGCAGGACTCAAACATCAACATGTACACTCACACAGTGATTCTGTGCATTTGAGTCATCACAGAAGGAATAACTGTCAGGACCAGAGGGGATCTCAGAGACATTTTGGCCTCACAAACTCGTTCTGCGGGGGGTGAGGGGTCCCCTATGCCCAGAAAGACTGCACTGACAAGAATAGGTCATGATCTTAGAGAAATAGGAACTGTCCAGGATTTGAGTCTGCTGGCTTCCCTCTTCTTTGTAGAGTTTTAGAGAACAATCATTTCTGTCATCTCACAACTTCATCCCTTACTCTATGGGTTTAAATGGAGTTGAGACTGCACCATCTATAGCAGAAAATTTTCTTTCAGGAATTCATTTGTGAAGCTCTGAGAATTTCATTGGATGTATCCCAGATCAGACTGGAAAGGAGAAGGAGCTCCAGGAAGATCCCATGCCTGGTGCTCTTGCTGTTTCTCTGGTTCTTTCTCTCCATGGGTGAGAGTTGGAGCAATTGGGAAGAAGGCAACCCCCTAACTCCACAGCATCTTAGCATCTTGGATGTCACTCTTGGAGATCACAGACCCACATTAGGACCACCAGGGTCCTGGGCTTTCTGAGAGAGGAAGAGCTTTGTCAAAGTCACACTCTGAGTTTGTGGCAGAGCTAGTTGCAAGGAGCGAAAATCTCCCAACTCCAAATCTGGGTTGTGCTCCCCACTTGGTGGCTCAACCTCTGCCCAAACTGGAGGCAGGGCTTTTCCTCCTAGGAAGCTCTGAGGTGGGCTCATGCTAATCTCGAGCCTTGGCTCTCAGGGAAGTGACAGGCCTAACAGGACAGTTCACTGTTAAGCATGCCACACGCAGAGGCAGGTGCTGAAGGGAGTGCTGGAAATGACTCGGGGCTCAGAAGAATCTCCAGCAGCCAGAATGCTGGCATGGCCTCCTCTCCCAGGACCTAGGACGCCAGCCCACTTTGGAGAGAAAAGAAGGATGACAGAGAGATCCATCCAGCCCCGGTAGCATTCCTCCTATCTGATAACCCCTATGGGGCCCCGGTGAAAGGAGAGACCAGTGTTTCTAAAAAGGTACATGCAGAGCTGCCAGGATCCCCCACCTCAGCCAGGTCCTTAGTCTCCCACAGGCACCAGCCCCTTACCTGTTGATGGAACTGACGCTGGGCACCGTGTCATTGTCACACACCCGTTCTGCCAGCAGCCGGTCCCTGATCTCCCAGGCAAACATGGTGGGATTTTGGCGTTTATACTCAGCGATTTTTTCCACCACTTTGGGTGTGGCGACCTTTGGTTTGGATCCTCCAATTACCCCAGGCTTTATGCTCCCCGTCTCATAATACCTAGGACCCAAGGAGAAATGAGTTTAGCCAAGAGAAACCAGGAAAATGAATATCAGTAACAAAATAATGGACTGCTCTGTCCAGAAACATCCAGATCTGTGCTGTCCAATACAGTAACAACTAGCCATATGTGGCTTTTGAACATTTGAAGTGTGGCTCGTTTGAATGGAGATATGCTGTAAGCATCAAATTCACACCAGGTTTTCAAAACTTAGTACAAAAAGACAATGTAAAAAAATCTCATTAATGATTTTTCTATTGGTTACATGTTGAAATGATCATCTTTTTTATGCATTGGGTTAAATAAAATATATAATTAGAATTAATTGTCCCAGGTTCTTTTTCCTTTTTTTAACGTGCTACTAGAAAATTTTAAATGTCATGCATGGCTCACTTTATATTTCTATTGGACAGTGTAGGTCAGAATGCTATGCATTAATTAATTAATTAATTAATTCTGTTACACTTATCTATCAGTTGACAGTTTATAGACAATTTTCCAGTCGGTTTTCCCATTTGATCCCCAAGACACTTCTAAAGCACATAAATGTTTTGAATGAGTGAATGAATAAACAAATAAGTCCCCATCTACGGATATAAAACAGATCTGTAGAGGTTAAACGGCCTGCCCAGCGTCACACAGGACTCAGTGGTCAAACTGGGACTGTGGCCCAGCCTCCTGAGCTAAAATTTCCCCAGAAAGTTGGCTTTTAATTTGCCAGCTCATCCAACCTCTAGCAGCCCCATCTGCATTCTGTGAAACCACCCCCGAAAATGTAACTTCTTTTTCCCTAAGAGAAAAACAATAACCCTGATGTAAAATTAAAAAGAGAGTTGGATTCCAGAACTAACTGGAAATATGAGTTAAATATAAGTCAAAACCCAAGCAATCAAAAAAAAAAAAAAAAAACCAACCGCAAGTCACAGCAGCTCTTCTGGGGACCTCCCCTGAGGTAAATCGCTGTTTCTAAGGACATTTCCATGCTATCAGCTCTTCCTCGTTAACGCAAATAGGATGTCAGGGTTTTACAGAAAAACCGAGACCAGGGAGAAGATGCCATGAAAGATCATTTCAAGGGAAAAAAATTACTTGATTCCTTTTTTGAATCTGAGCCTTCACTGGATGTCTCTCTCAACATTTACGGAAGAATTCTTGACTTCCTCTTGCAAAGGAGATTATCTTGCAGTTGAAAAAAATTTTTAACAAAAAAGACATTTTAGGGATGACTGGACATTTTTCAACCTAACAAGAGTTTGTAATAGGTAAGGGAAAGCAGTGATTCTCCCATGGGATGGGTGCAAAAGGTAACCCAGAACAATGACTGGTTACATTTAAAGAGTTGCTGAAATTCTCAGCCTGGGTAAGTCTGGTTATGGCCAAGTTAGTGAATATTCTAGAAACAGATGAGATAATTTAGGTGCCGTGATGTGGATGTAGAAATTCTATTTTTCATTAAGAGTCAGTCATGGACAAATTTGGACCATAAAGCAAAACTTAACCTGTCCTCCCTCTTTCTGTAATTGCTGAAAAATTGTTATTAGTCACAAACAGGTTTTAAAAATATCCAAGAAAATACTTTTTGCCAGAAGTTTAAACTGTATCTCAATCAAAGCACACAGCAATCTCTGCAGCCTCCAATTATCCTTTCGATTTTACAACAGAAAATCATTTGTTGCTATCAACACAACAGCTCATTATTTAGGCATAATTCTTTAAAGAGTCTTCCTTGAATTACCTTGATCCTCACACCACTCCTGAGAGGCTGGCAGGGTTTTTCAAAAGGGAAAACTGATGATCAGAAGATTAAGTGACTTGCCCAACTCCCTTCTGGAACTTAGAAACAGCCCTGGCCTTCAAACATGACTCTGAATCTAGTGCTCTTCCCGTGAGAGAAAGATGCTGCTTTAATTATAAAAATTAAAATACTACTACTACTACTAGTAATAATCCCATGCAATTGGAGAAAACTTTACTGTTTACCAGGCATTTTCATGTGCATTTTGTCACTCGTTCACTAACTCAATCAATAGTCACAGAGGGTCTGTTAGAACAGGCACTGTCTTGGGGTGGGGATTACAGACACACAGAAAACCCTGTGCTCAAAATATGTTAGTTGAATTTGACTGTAATATTCACACTGTGACTCTGAGCGGATGGCAGGATGAAGCCCTCACCCCCTAGCACTTGCCCTGCTTGGATGGCTGGGGGTTGCAGGGCCCAGGGCCGTCCATCCATCCCACCTGCACATGGCCAAATGTAGGAGGCTATGGTCTTGACCCAAGAGGTCTCTGCCTTCCTTTTGACTTACATATGTGCCAAGAACTTAGCAGGCAACGTTGACACTCCAGAAAACCCCAACTGGCAACTATGTCAGATAAGGATTCAGACTAAATATCCATTCTTTCATCTCAACAAAACAGCCACACAGCCTTTTGGCTTATACACAATAAAATGAACAACAGCCACTAACACACAGTGCAGTTTGGTGCAAAGAGCATTAGTTTGAGAGTAAAGAGGTGTAGGTGCTAGTCAGTGCTCTGACATAAAATTGCTGTGTGAACTTGACCAACTCACTTAGCCTCTCTGGGCCTCAGTTATCCCGTTTGTATAATAAGACAAGGTTGCTTCCCCTGCCTGCCTTGCAGGGCTGCTGTGAAGACAGGAATGCAGAATGGTTAAGAAAAAGCTTTGCAAAACATAAAGAGCACGTGCTGCGGATTAAAATGCTCTTAGTGTTTATTACGGTGTAACATGCCACCCAGTTCCAAATGGCCTGAACCTCCCAGCCAGGCTCCAGTGAAAGAAGACAACGGCCAGGCTTTCTGGGTGGATTTAAATGGGCCTCACATGCCACTGGGCTGTGCCTCGCAAGCCCCTCCGGAGCCTTGAGCTCTGTGGACTGACTGCCCTCACTCCTGGCAGACCGCCACCTTCCCGAGATGATTCTGCCTGCCCCAGGGACTCTGTTTGCCTTGTCATGCAGCCTCTGAGAGCCACAGCCACCACACACCACATACACTCTACAATCTGTTATCCCGTGTGCACCCATCAGATTCTTCAGTGACCAAAAATCAAAAAAGAAAAAAAATCAGTGGATAGAACAGCTCCCGTTCAGAAATTCCCAGTCACACTGTTTTAGGGCTGAACTTGTTTCTTAAAAGGCAGTTCTAATTAGAGTGACATTTTGTCCACTGTGGTTCTTAGTTATGAAAATAATGAGCTATGAAATTCCAATTTATTGTTGACAACTTAAACGGCCAGGCACCGGAGCGGCGCGTAACTTCCGAGTGCCACTCTACCTAGTGACAAATCTATTCCGGGCCGCGGGAGGCTGCCGGCTGGGCCTGGGAGGATCCCTGTCTCCTTCAGTCTCCAAGGGAGATGTGGAGGGCTCCTGGGAACCAGAACACAAGGACCCGGCATCTGGACATCCCCTCTGAGAAGGGCTCAGCATCCTGGCCAGAGAAGATTTCAAATAGCAAGAAAAATTTTGGCTCAGCAAAGACATCTCAGCAAAAACAAAGGAAGGGTCTCCTTTCTCTCTCGCTGTACTTTCATACAATGAAGAGGCTTTCCAGGAAGATATCAAAGGTCCGCTCAGCTCCCAAAGTCTGACGCTGAGATGGTCTAAAATATTTCTCTTCTCTCTCTATCTTGTCTTCATTCATCTTTCTGTTTCTTGTGCTCTCTCTTTTAAATCAATCCCTCTCCATTCTCTCTGTGTTCTTTTTTCTCTTTCCCTTTTCTCTCTCTCCTTTCTCCTCTGTTTTTTTCTTTCACCTCTCAATCTCGTCCTCCGGTCTAAAACCCTCATCTAACAAGAACATGACGCTGCGGCCCTGACCTCCTTCTTGAACTCGGGCTGGAGCTCATTTGCTGCTGAGTGTTACAGGAGTGGAGCCCACGCTCTCCACAGCTGAGATGACCCGGGAAGGGCAGGGGATATGGTCCCTAAAGGGGCTGCCAGACCCCTGGCCCTGCAACTTCTTCTCTTGGCCCCTAGATGTTTCCTCAAGGTTAAAAACTGTTGTTCCTCCATCTGAGAGAATTTCTCAAATCCCAGCAGACGAGAGGGAAAGCAGAAAGTCACGACGACACTGACATACTTCAAAATATTTATTTTCTATTCAGGCATCTGTTCTCCAACCATAATGCAAGCTGCAGGCCAAAGGTTGTTTTCTGATCTGGCAAGAGAAATCCTGGGAGAACACTGAACAGCTAAACCCAAGAATGTTCCTGGCTGCTGGGGCAGACCTATAACCACTTCACATGCCTAGAAACACACTTGTGGCCTTGTTGGGGGGTATGGTGAGATGTGGATGATCTAGGAATCCTTAAGGCCTCTTCCTGGCCTCAGTGCTGACTGGCTGGATGGATCTGAGTCAGTCACTTCGCCCTTTAGATTTGTCTCCTCATCTCAAAACAAGCTTCCCTGGACCGTCTCACCCGAGAAAGTAAACAGGAGCGTTAAGAGGCTGCAGAGCCCTCTGGGAAAATAGGCATTGTTAGTATTTTGCTTGCAGCAAATCGCCAGGTCAAGTGGCAACTTTCAAATGTCAGAACTGAGTTAGTATTTGTTTGGGTTTCTTTTTCCCCTTCTCTAATTTAATATATATTTAGGATGCCTGTCACTATGAAGGAAACAAAACATATAGAAGGAAAATACTGCAGCCCAAAATAATAAGGTAGATGTTAACCCAAAACTGAAAATGACAGCTGCCTTTTAAAAATGGAATGTGCTTTTTGAAAACATTAACACGAAACATTGAAGTCTGGTTATGTGATTTTATAACTTGTGGATTTTCCACCCAGCCCTGCTCAGACCCTGATCTCACCTAAGATGTGTAGGGGAGATTCCCAAGAGCCTCTTATTCTTGGGTTCTTTGGTATAATTCACCAGGCTTTCAGAAAACATGTCACCCTCCTATCTGAGTCACCTCACTCCATAACAGGGGTTTCCCAGGACTACTTTGAATTGAATGGTCCCTTGAAAAGGCTTTGCGAACTTTAAGGTACTGTGTACGTGGGAGAAGTGCCACCACGATTCTCACTGTGACACTGCTACATTGGACAGCTGCTGGGTCATGTTTTAGGTCATTATCTGAAAAATCAAGGGAAGCCTGAAGCTCCTGCTTTTACCTGCCAAGAATTTTGCTGACACAACCATGGCTGACTCGAAGCTGCCTGGAGATGTCGCAGGGCCTGACACCTTGATGAGCAAGTTCCACTATCCTTTGGCGGACTACATCCGGGAGTGGCCGTCCATTCACAAAAACCCCCCCAAGCTGATTCACTCCTCCATGTCCTGAAACAGATCAGAAACAAAAGGCAAGGGAAAGGGTGGTTAGAACCAATAACATAGGAGTAGAAGCTCTGTTTTGAGCACCTAGAGCCCCTCTGATCAGAAATGGCTGTGGGTTGGATGTCTTGAGCCCAGAGTCTGACTGTGCAGGCTATAGGAGCACTTCAGACTGCTTTTTAAAATTAACCTTAACCTTTGTCCATCATCAGCCATTCAGTTGGGCTGTTGATGGCAGGCATCCCCATACTATGTTTCCTTTAGTTACTAGCATTTTCTTTGTAATTTTTTTAAACAATAGAGTAAGTGAAAACCTCAATCTATATTAGGGATGCAACTTATTACATACATGATGCTAAGGTCTAAGATGCTAGGTCTAAGAAAGATCTTGGGGAGAAAATACATTTTGAAATACATAAGATTTAAAGAGAATTTTAAAAATGAAACTCTTTTCCTTTTAACAAATATCTTTAAAAGTGAAAAAGACTACTCTAATAAACCTAGATCTCAGGAAAAACATTTTTTTTTAAATCAGCAGTCTGATTCAAGGGCTAAGGACAAAAATAATTTTTAAAATAGTATCAGCAGAGTACTGGACAAAACTCAACCACTGCCTTGATAAAAACCCTTTCCTTAAGAAGACGAGGCTCATACCTCAATAAAGACAGGGGAAAATAGACAAACAAAAAAGGTGCGGCTGTCATACAGACTTGACCACTGTACCCTCTCAGAGCACACAAAAAAATGGGTCAAAGGATCACATTCCAATCTACTGCATTAGGATTTGTTATAAAAGAGGTTCCCTGGAATTTTGGGAGTGTTTTGCAATTGATGAGCAGCTTTAAGTTGGTCCAGGGGAAATAAAGAAGCTGGAGAAGGCTTCTGAGTCCCAGGTTTTACAGGGGCTCTGGGGTGGATTTTAAGTAAAAGGATCCCAGGAAAGTAATTCCTCCACTCAATAAGTTCCCTTCTCTTACATCAAGGTCCATCTGGAGGGAAACAAGGATCCAAGTAAATGAAGAGCCAAACCAGTAAACACAGAGTGAACCAGTGTAGCAACATCACTGACCTTGTAGCTGTTAATCAGCCACTAACTGTCATCACTGAGGACTGTCAAAAGCCAGAAGTCACATCCAAGCATTTACCAACGCTGCTAGCAGCTCAGAGGCCAAGGAGGGGGAAATCTCCTCCTAAACTGGAAGTTGCCTAGGACTGAACTGTACCAGGGAAGCCAGCGCATCTCAGAGGTCACACACACACACACACACACCCTTCAACTCTAAAATATAAAATAGCCACCTTATCTCAGCTATTCCCAACCCCTCACCCCCCGCCAGCAATCAACTATTATCCAGGTTCATGAACAATATCCGAAATAGAGGGGGAAAACTACTCATAACATAACCCATTTCCTAAAACCTGCCAAAGCGATTCACTGAAGTTTCCCATGAGAGTCTGAATTGAATATTTCCCCAAATGTCCAAGCTCAGACTGATTCCAAGAAAAAAAATTTTTATAGATAACAACAGTAGTTAATTCTAGTTCTAAGCTAAATTTCTCCAATTTTCAAAATGAGCTTTAATCAGTTTTTATTGTTCTAAAACACTCCAGACATAAGAAAAAGGAAAACCATCCCAAACAGGATTTTGCGTTTAGGAACACAATTGCATAGTTCACCTAAAACAGAAAGACTGCAGCCACCCTGGTCAAGGGTTTTAAGAAAGCTTTGTTCTGGGGTTGAGAATACTAATAAAAAAAAAGTGTTATATGGGTCTTTCAGTAACAGGCTGGATTTAAGAAGAAAGTAAATTCAAAATTGGCAAAAGCTCATCTAAGAGGACAAAAAAGGAAGCTAAAAGCACCGAGCACACTTTCGAGATAACTGTTAGTCCAGGCATTGGCGCCATCTGCAAATGCCTATTCCCTACACTACTGGCGATTTAAATTTTCTGCCCAAAACACAGTGGCAACCTTCAGAGGACTTAAATACCAAAAGCAGTCCTACAGGACAGTGAGCTTTGGGGACCATTTGCATCATGGGGAAAAAACCCCAAGGATCAGACACTCTTAGGTGACAGCAGATCCCATACCCTCTAGTCTTGACCCCAAAGGCCAGGCTACCAGGCGCTTCCAGAGTCTGATCCACATGTCCATTGCTAACACCAGACCCAGCATGACCTAGGAACCCCCTATTTCCTTCAACTTCCAGGAAAGGCCCCCAAACCCATTTGGCCCTCTCTGTTTCGGTCTCAGCGCGATCTAAAAGAGCATTTCAAGGGTGGCAAGCTGGTGATTTAAAACTGTGGTCTGAAAAGGCAATGTCTCTCACTTATTGGAAAGAAGTGAAACCAGAAACCTGAGAGAAGGGAGGCAGGAGGACAGGGAAAGAAACAAGGAAGAGGTGTGAGGGGAAGGGTACAAAGAGCAAGAACTAGATGACATGAGACAGACAGCAAGGAGAGAGAGCCTGGAAGGGAGGCCTCAAGTTATAAATGAAGAGGAGGAGAAAAAAGGAATGAACTGGCCAGAACAGGAAAGAGAATGGAAAGAAAGGCAGATGCAGTGTACAGTGGGAGGCAAGAAGAAAGAAGAGAAAACAGAGGAAGCCCAGCAAGGGGCATTTGGAGGACAGGGGACATCTGTGGAGGGGGAGACCTTTGTTTTCTGGAAGCCCAGCTTCAGCCCTGCACTTTCTCAGAGAACCCAAGTCCCAGCCTCTACTTCCTGTGGACTGAGTGAGGGCTCCTCCTATGGGAGGTGCTGGGGGTTGTGGGGAGACACGGACTCAGCTATACTTTTCAGAGTCAAGTAGAATTTACAGAGAAACTGACACAGAGACAGATACAAACAAATCAAGGCAGAGACCAGGAAACAGACAAGGGAAACACAGCCCACTCCCACAGGGCTGAGAGAGCAGGGTTTGGAGGAGGGGAGGGCAAGAGAGAAGGGTTGAATTGCAGATGCCCCTGGGGCCTTTGTGGTTCTGGTCTGGACATGCTGCCCACCACGGCGCCCCTGTCCACACCCCCAAAGACCATGGCTGGGCATAGAGACTTGGGGAGAGGGTCTGTGCTGACTCAGTGGTAGATTGAACTGAAGGACCCACAGGGTCACTGAAATTCCTTCTATTGGCACGGGAGAGGATGAATGAAGGAACACACAAACATGCAAACAGAAACATGGGGAAAGGGCAGGGATGAAGTCTCCTTAATGGACTTTCTAACCAGCAGACAGGTGCTGGCACACATGGATAGTGGTGCCATGAATACAGACATAGTTGAGCCAGACAGATAGCACCTTGCACTTGTGTGTAGCCACCCAAATGTTCACTGCCCAGTCTCTGGAGTCTGAGTCCCTCTCTCTCCTCTTCCGTAAATCCTCAAAGACTGGTTCGAGTTTTGTCCATATGAACTTCCTGTCAGTCCTTTTGTCTCTCTGACCTTAATATCATACTCTGTAAAATGGGTGTAGCTGAACGTTTAGTAGACACTCAGGTAGGAGACTGGCTATAAAAGTGCTTTATAACTTGTGCCCGTAGCTGGGGGTGGGGGCAAGAAACACAGAAGCCCATTTCCTGGCAGTGCCTGCCCCTCCCCCTACACATTTCCCCACAGAAGCTACCCTGCTCCAGTGGAGAAGAGGGGAAGGGAGTTGGGGGGAAGAAACTGACTAAGGCCAGGAAGGAAGATGAGAAGATGGGACTTGGTCTTATCCTCTACTAACCAGGCAACATCTCAGGATCTACTGTGCACCCCTCCACTCAATCTCTAACAAACTAGGGCCCCAAAGCCAGGCCTACACTGTGCTAGCAAATAGCTTTGGGCATCGGAACCAAGGGCATTTCCAGAGAAGCCAGCTCTGGAAGCTGGGCTGGCTGGGGCCCAGCCCCCACCATCCTGCAGGGAAGATTGAAAATGGGAGGAGGGAGCACTATTTAAGGAGGGGGCAAAGGACAGCGGAGATAAGGAGGGACAGAGACAGGCATTTGCAGTTGGCTAACCCCCACCTGGAAGGAGCTGCCTCCTTCACCCTCATGTACAGCCGAGAGGCCACCAGGTCTGATGCTATCTCCCCAAGGGCCCAGGCATGACCTCTGGGCCGCCAGGCTCTGTGCAGAAGGCAGTGAGGGTCTGTGGATTCCCGCAGGCAAGGATAGAAGTGCAGGGGCCAGCCCTTCCCATTTTTGTCCCCCAATCGCTCCTTGGCTGAGCTACCAGCTTGCTCACCTCTCAGAGTACTGACCCCAACTCGTTTGTTTTCTGGCTCACTCTGTGATATCAGAGCCTCCCTTGAGCCCAGCTGTCTGCGCAGGAAAAGGCTGCTGGGGGTGCTGGGGTCATCACGAACTGGAAACGGTTTTGGCACAGGCCCCAAATGATGAGGAATCGTTTGGGCTAGGACAGAAGCAAGCGGCTTCTCTGCACAAATCTCCTCACAGCTTTGGTGGATGACCTCGGACTCGGGAAACTGACACAAAGAGAAACTGACTTGCCCGAAGCCAGCCCCAGGAGCCTAGATCAGCATTTCCCTGCTTACCAGGCCATTCGGCCCTTCAGGGCAGAAATGAACATATTCGCCCCAGGAAGCTCGACTTCTCTCCAGCCGGGTCTCTGCTGCCTTTGTTAAACAGAGGACCCAAGGCTAAGGAAGCAGGATTCTGGGCTGTCTGAAGGCTTGGGGAGGGTTCACAGCCCAGGAGTGACTCCTTGACCAGCGGCCCATGAGGACTCAAGCTGGGCATCTGGCTGGATACCGCCGAAGCCTGGTGCCTTACTCTGGCCCAGCCCTGCAGCGCTCAGAAGGGAAATACGATTCGTTCCATTTGGAATTTCCTCGAAATCTCCAAATCTAATCCGGCGTTAACTCACCGTGAGAGAAGCGCTTATCTTACAGGAGGCTGTGCTAATGGGTGAACTGGCAGATCCCAGCGGGTCAGGCAACCAACCGGCCTCGTCCGTGCCCAAAACGACCCTTCCCGTCTCCTACACACACGGCATCTTTCAGAA